GTATCACGACGATCCATTCCACGTGTTAAATTTTAGTTTTATCCAGTTGGACAAGGATTTGACTTATGAGGAGGAGCCGGTGGTTATTCTAGCCGGCAGGTTCGTCAGTTGAGGTCGCAGAGTTATCCTTTAGTTCAAGTGCAGTGGAGAGGTAAGCCCGTCAAGGCATCTATGTGGGAGTCCGAGTCAGACATGCGGAGTAGATATCCCCACCTTTTTCCCAGTCCAGGTACTTTTCTATGTCTGTTCGAGGACGACCAGCTATTTTAGAGGTAGAGAATGTAATTACCCGATAGTTCATCTTATGTTTTAAAACCTAATTCCATATTTCAAAGCCTTAAATACCTTATTTTAGTCCTCCTTGATTTGCGTGCATAGTCGGGGCATATCTTCGAAAAGTTTTATGTTAAAAACTGAGAAAATATGAAATTTTTACCTTAAAATTCATTTGAGTTGACTTCGATCAGTGTTTTGAGCAAACAGACCCGGATTCTTATTTTAACGGTACCGGTGGGTCCGTATCGTGATTTGAGTCTTGGGCGTATGCTTGAAATCGAATTCGTAAGTCCTTAGCCGGAGTTATCGGACTTTGTTGAAATTTGAAAGTTAAAGGCTTAATGATTTGGAAATGTTTGACCAATGGTTGCCTTATGGATATCGGGTCCGTATTTTGGTTCCGGAATTCGATATAGGTCCAATACTATATTTATGACTTGCCTGTCGAATTCGGTAAGAAACATAGTTAGTTTGACGTGATTCGGACGTCCAGTTGTGAAAATAGAAGTTTCAAAGTTTTCTTAAAAATTTCATTTGGTTTGGTTTTCAATTCGTAGTTCTAGGTATCTTTTGGCAATTTGATCGCGCGAACAAATTCGTATGATATTTGTAGACTTGTGTGCATATTTGGTTTAGAGTCCCAAGGGCTCGGGTGAGTTTCGGATAGGTTACGGAGTGATAATTGGACTTCGAAATGTTTCTGGAGCTTATGTTCTGGTTCAGGCCTCTGCTCTCGCATTTGTGAGATCTGGCATCGCATTTGCAACCTCTGATGGGTTCACATTTGCGAGCTACTCATCGCATTTGCGAAGAGTATCTAGGCCACCTTATGTTCGCATTTGCGAAATATACTTCGCATTTGCGACAGAAGGGGGCAGTGATCGCAAATGCGATCAAGTGGTCGCATTTGCGAAGGGTTAGTGTTCGTATTTGCAAACAATTCATCACAAATGCGATGAAAGTAGAGATGTGAAATCTTCGCATTTGCGAGCCCAGGTCGCAAATGCGACATCTGCAACTGATCAAATGGGACTTAGACGAGATTTTTGCTCATTCTTCAAATTTTCAAAACAAGAAAACCCTAGAGGCGATTTTTCAAAGAACTTTTCTTTCCCAAATCATTGGTAAGTGATTCTAAACTAGTTTCTTTCAATCTTTCACTACATTTCCTTAGATTTCAACCAAAAATCTTGTGTTTTCATGGTGAAAATTTGGGGTTTTGGGTAGAATTTGCGATTTTTGTAAAATAGGGATTTAGACCTCAAATTGAGGTCGGATTCCAAAATAAATTACATAACCGTCTCGGGGGTGAATGGGTAATCGGGTTTTGGTCCGAATTTCGGGTTTGGACCAAGCAGGCCCGGAAGTTGACTTTTTTTTACTTTTTCAATAATGACCTAAATTGAATTCTTCGCAATCGTGGGTAGTTTCTAAGGCTTAATATGAATCGTTTGGTTGGTAATTTTCTAGATTCTATTGATTTGGAGGCTTGTTCGAAAGGCAAAGCCGTGGTTGAGCTTTGAGTTTGGTCTTTGGAGTAAGATAAGTGTCGTGGTTAACCTTGGCTTGAGGGATTAGGACTTATTTGTCTATATGCTATGTGTTTAGATATTGGGTACAATGTATATGTGAGGTGACGAGTACTTATGCGTTGTTGTTGGGTTATAACATGCTTATAGGACTTGTTCTTTGTAATTATTGCTTTCCTTGATCATATTATCCATGTTTGGACTAGTTAATTGTTAAATTGATCGTTTTTATCATGATTATGAGCTTTGGTGATAATTGAGTATTGATTCCGAGTTGAGATTGGTATTGTGGAACTGTTGTTGAAGTAAGGCTTATACTTGTTGTTCCTATCTCTCTATTATTACTTGTTCATTGTTATGTGGTAAGGGAGAGTATTAATGCACGAAGGGTGATGTTGTGCCATGTTATGTGAGTTAATGCACGAAGGGTGATGTTGTGTCATTTCTATTGATTTATACAGTGAGTGAGTGTAAAATCACGAAGTGTGATGTCGTGCATTATCATCGTTTCATTGTGAGGTTGAGTAATAAAAGCACGAAGGGTGATGTCGTGCAATCTTTCTTCCTTGTGCTTAATTGTTTTTACTGGTTAAATACATATTGACTGTTTTGGTTATCATTCCGTTGTATCTCTCGTATCTTGTATCCCCTTTTGCATGTCCCCCCTCCCGATATTACCTGTATAGCTTTTATTTGTCGTTATCTTGTACATATACTATTAATTGTATAGGTTTATTATGTAAGTGTCTTGCCATAGCCTCGTTACTACTTCGTCGAGGTTAGGCTCGATACTTACGAGTATATGGGGTCGGTTGTATTCATACTATACTTTGCACTTCTTGTGCAGATTTTGGTGTCGGCCTTAGCTATTCGTGAGTTGGAGTAGTTTGGATTTTCTTGTTTGGAGACTCGAGGTAGGTCTGCTGGCGTCCACATACCTTGGAGTCCCTTCCCAGTTTCTTTATTTTACTATTTCCTTTCTTTGAGAAGAATTGTATTTTCTTTCAGACTTTGTTTGTAGTAAATCTTAGAAGCTCGTAAATCGTGACTCTAGATCCGAATTGTATCAGATATTATGGGTTTTATGTTATTCCATAATTGAGTTTTAGTTTCTGTTTAGCCTAATTGTTTCTGTTATTGAAATTGGCTAAAGTTGGCTTTAAGATTCCTCTAACGTTGGCTTGCCTAGCAAGTGAAATGTTAGGTGTCATCACGGTCCTGAAGAAGGGAATTTCGGGTCGTGACAGTTGTCCACAAAGAAGTGTTCGTTAAGATACCATCACATTAAATACTTTTAAACTATAATACGTAATTATCTAACTAATATGACAAAATTGATCATTTGTGTAAGTTTTGATGTTGTCCTTTTATTTTAAATTCATGTATTATGCTAATGTAATAATATCTTTCGACGTTTAGATGATTGCTGTATTATTATACATAAAATTTCTCTCATTAATTAAATTTTATTGTTCCTTCATATAAATAAATATTTAAATCATCACGTGTCATTATTAACCCGTAACGCATGTTCATAGATACTAGTTAACTATTATGTATTAGAAGTTAGAACTAAACTATAATTGAATTCAAAAGAAAAAGAATAAAGAAAAAATTAAAACAATTTGTTATTAAGTATATTATTACGTACATAAAGCAAGTACATTGTATTCAATGAACTAAAAAAGTTGAAGGTGGGACTCGAACCCAGATCATCCAACAAACAAGGGAATTTAAGCGCCCAACAAAACCTCTTCTTCCGGGTTTTGCCGAGACTAACGGGGTCCTTTGACCTCTCTATATGCAATGCAGGTCCGCCTCTGAATTTGGATCCCTGAATTTTAACTAAATATGTTAAATTTGAGCTCTAGAAATGCAAAACATTTTGATAAGAAATGCTTTAGCTCTCTTACTGAGCTTACTCAGTATAAACTTAAATTTAATCCGTACCAATAAACATTGGATACAAAACAACAACAATAACGATCCAGTATAATCTCACAAGTGGGGTCTGGGGAGGGTAATATATACGCAGACCTTACCCCTACCTCGAAGGTTAGAGAGGTTGTTTCCAGGAGACCCTCGGCTAAAAAAAAACAATAGGAGATGATATATTAGTACCATAAAAATGCATAATAAAAATAACAACAATATATAAGAGATATGAAATACAGAATACGAAATACGAAATAGATGGCTGGTATAGTAAAACTAGAAGGTAAAGCCATGCATCAATAGACGACCAATGACATTCTTAGTGTAACTCCTAAGATAGTAACTTTTTGTATACTTATTTTTGTTTCTGTTCTGTTTTTCTTCTTTTTATTTAATGTTTGTGAAAGCAATTAAGAGTAGATGGTTGCCAGCTGATTTTATTGCTTTACTCGGAACAAGTTGGCAGCTATTTGCAAGCATAACTAAGGCCTAAACACTTGTCAAGTAGTGGAAGTTATCTCTATCTCTATCAAACAAATTTGCTTCAAGGTTTGAAAAGTTATCGGCACCTTTCTTTCTTTTTGTCTTTTTTCAATTTTTGAAATGGGGATTAACTCGTAAATAATAAGCAAAGAGAAGGTAACATCAGGTTACTTTCACTATTTGATTAATGGATATGAATATATGGCAGTGCAAAAAAAGAATGCAATAGAGTTTAACTTGGAAAATCATTTCCCAAATGCATTTCCATGACCTAATATTCAATAATTAAACCAAAAGCAAAGTCAAACGCCACTTCTTTTGGG